TGACCATCTCGATACGATCATTTTTGACGAAGTTACATTCTTTTGAATTTTGCCTATTTTTGGAGGGTAGAGTAAGTGATGCTTTAATTTTGTTGAGAAGTGTATAAATAAATAAAAAGCTCAAAATATTATTTATAGCAATTTCGTATACTGTAACTGGGTCTGTGTGAGCGATGGTGGCATCAGCAGCTATGAATGCTAACGGCCAAATCCTTTTGGTAAAGTGGGTAGACAAAAGTATTTATAGAAAGTATAGACGACTCAGTGATCTCTCACAATTAAAAATCAAAATTGCCTGTCTCAAACTATTATCTGAATATATTGCATGAATTTTAACTAATTATTTGGAAAATATTTTTCCATTTACAGCAATCTTATTAAATTAATATTATATTGACATTATATTGTGGTTAAGTGATTTAACAATTTAACATTCTTATTTGCCTATACTTTTATACAAATATAACTGTATTTTTATATAAATGTATTGATTCAACAAAACATAACATCGATACGACAACGAGAGTACAAAACGATCTGTGTGTGATTGATCGCTTATTGCTTGACGCTCTCAATTGTCAAGCTGTCAATCGTTACAATGTTACAATGACGTAGAAAATAGTATTTAATCACTCTTTAATTGCGATTAAAAATATTCATTCCAAAGTGGAAGATATACAGAATGGAAGAATTCACACTGTATATGAATAAAAAGTTACTCCATCTTGAATGATTTGGTAATTATTTCATTTTTGAGTGGAATTTTACTGCTACAAATTTAGAGAGCAATGATTTATTGAATTAATATTTGTTTCAGAACGATAAGATCTTTATTACCGATTATTATGGATGACGAAAAATTCATGAACTCGTGTTAGCATGATTCAGAAAATAAATTGTGCTGCGTTGCACTTATTATTTATGTCATTATTGCATTATTGTCACTATTGCAGCTAATTGCCTGCATTGCCTTGCTGTTTAATTATAGCCTTTTATCATTTGGTGTCTGTTTTATGACATTATTAGAATCATTATTATCATCTGTAATTGTAGACCATTGCCCTTGACATTTTCGAAATGTGGCAGTTATCTAAAACGAGCCATTTTAAAAAATAATGGAATAATACCGAGGCCGTACTCTCGAGTGCAAAACTCCTTATGTGGTTTTTGGTATACGTTGCAAATAATTTTTTATTTGAATCGCGGTAAGATCTCATACAACGGTACACATTTTTCAGAAGCTTTCTAAAGACGTCCAGATAAAGAAGGCGAGATGGATGTCTAGACGTTATACGAACGTCCCTCGGATAAGGTGTACTGTATAGGATATTTAATGAAAAGATTCTAACACGGAACGTTGCTAACGTTATTTTGAATTCTTAATGCAACGTTGCCTAGAGTAATTCTCTTAAGCAGCATCTACAATGAGACTTAAGACTTAAGCTTTAAGGCGTTAATTCGTAATGTCATTTCCGTTCGTAAGGCGTTCCCGTCTTTACTTTAGCTTTAACTTTAATTCTTAAGCGAATTGACGAAATCTCAGTTCTTACGGCTAAAAGTCTACGGCTTAAAGTCAAGCGATATAAGAACTAATCATCACACTGCCTTCTATTGCGTCTGCTTTCTGATTGGATGCTTGGTCTTTAAAGCTTAAAGTTATAATCTTACAACGTTTATTTATTGTAGACACTACGATGTAACGGCTTAACTCTTAATGCTTACGGTTTAAAGTTTAAATCTTAAGTCTTAAGTTTTATTGTAGAATGGGCTTTATATCGCGCGACTTTTAAGCTGTAGACTTTTAGCCGAGCTTTTAAAAAGCAGACGCAAAAAATGGCAATGGAAGGCAGTATGATGATTGGTAATTCTTATATCGCGCTCGACTTTAAGTCGTAGACTTTTAGCCATAAGAACTGAGATTTCGTCAATTCGCTTAAGAATTAAAGTTAAAACTAAAGTAAAGGCGGGAACGCCTTACAAACGAAAATGACATCACGAATTAACGCCTTAAAGCTTAAATCTTAAGTCTTGATAGAGACTTATTGAGAGTCTTGTGCAAGGCTATGCTTACGCTTGTGCAATATGTTAATATGCAAATTATACATCATAAATTGTGTAAATGACTTGATATAATTTGATACAAACAAGGCAAATTTTTAAAATAAATCCGTATAAAATATATACCAAAAAATTTCTAAAAGATATTGCTACATCCACAATTTTTTCTTTAAACTTTATAAAAATAAATTTACGTATCTTTTTCACTATCCTAGTTGATCTCAGTCATTACTTTACTTTCATTAAAGTAATCTTTGCAACGTTGCATTATAATAACTCAGAATAATATTAGAAATGCGCTTTCCTGCGTTCCTATAATTAAAGGCAAAAATTGCTTGTTATCGCAATTGCGGTGACTCAAATATACATATAATTTTCCAAATAGTACTTCAAATGGCATTACGAGTTAAACGTTCTTTTTTGCGTTAAAATTTTTCTTCATTTAATATATCTTACACTAGAATTTTTTTTACAATATTCTTTTGAACGTTTCGAAACTAATTCAGTTCATATTCAGCAATTCATCAGCGATTTATTTGAATTCTAGATCTAACTAAAAAGATGTTACTTTTTAAGTGTTGATTTATTTTTCCCTCAATGCAATTCTATAAATATTAAAATAAGCAGCTGCTAAACTTTCTCTACACAATATGTATACATATATAATTTCTATGCGCTTTTCATTAAATCATATTTCGCAACTTTATTAAGCGACAATGGGTTTATTGTAAAAGATTGAGTGACATAAGATTGTTTTAAATTTTATTTTCTTTATGTATCTTTCTTGCCATAAAATTAAATAAATTCTTTATTTAACGTTTATTTAAACACACATTATATCTTGTCGCTAACTTCAACGAATTTCTCGATTAATTGTTGTCTTATTCTTAACTAATTATAATTATTATTTCGCATATTAACTAATTATTTCATTTTCGCAGCGTCTCATCACTCTACGTCCAATTGATTTAATCTATGCAATACGTTGCATTAAAATTCAGAATAACATTAATTAGCAGCCGTGTTCATTTCGGATCTATTCATTAAATATCTTACCGTAACTCAAATTAAGAATTATCTACAACATAGCCCATAAATTGCGACAAAATTTATAAATGGTTTTGCAATAAAGCGTATTGCCTCGATATTATTCCACCGTTTATATTTTTAAAATGGCTTATGTTAAATTACTGCCACGTTTCGAATATGAGCAAGAGCATGAGCCTACAATTGTAGATGGAATAAAAAATGAGGGGTTCTATTTAAAAAATCATCGGTCACAATGATTTAGTCCCGAAACACAATAGATGTAGTAAGCCTTAAGCCGTAAGAAATTGACCAATATAATATAATATTAATTATAATCCATTATTCTCTTCAAATTCAACTATGATTGGTCAATTTCTTACGACTTAAGGCTTACAACATCTATTGTGTTTCGGGCTTTAGTCTTGAGAAGGTCACTTAAGATCAAGATCATATATATATTTTCATATGTCTCCCTTGATATCTATTTTTGTATGAAACATTTCCATATCTAAAGCTGTTTCCGAGATATTAGGCCTGAGTTAGACTATATAACACCTTGTATATATATATATATGTATATATTTACATTAAAACAGAATAACAGAATAAATAAGTGTATATACTTATTTATGCAATCAATTATGCATTTATAGTAATATAAATGTTAAGATAAATACATAATAATCATTTTGTTTGTTTTTATGTTTGTATTTAGTGTTTTTAAGCGATTTGCATTTTAGTATTAAAACGCTAAAATATAAATTAAACGTGCTCTAGTTTTTTAAAGTAATTTTTTAAAGTAAATTTAAAAGAATAAAATTTAACAGATAAAAAATGTAAACAGTAAGGTAAGAAAGTTTTGCTGAATTATTTAAAAATGCCTTAATTTTACCTTATAAAGCCATATGCTGTTATAGTCAAATCTCGATAACTCGAATCTTAAGGGATCAGAAAAACTGTTCGGGTTATAGAGTTTTCGACTTATCAAAATTCGAGTAAAAGAGGGTTAACATATGAAAATTCGACTTCCGGAGGCTTTGTAGTCTTTGTACGAGAGTTTATAATTTTCCAATTATAATGGCTTTATAAGAGAAAAAAAATCAATATTAAGCAGTGAATTATTTATTGCATACATACAATAAATGTAACCATAAAACAAAATACCAAACTCATGGTTACATATAGCTACAACTTCGAATTATAGAGGTAGCGATAATGGAAGTTCGACGAGGTAAACTTCGACTTGTAGAGGTCTGGCTACTTTAAAATTTGAGTTACAGAGGTAAAATATATGTATATCTAAATGCCTAACAAATAATTCGAGTTAAGGTAGGTTTTATTTCGATTTATGGAGGTTTTCCACAACGGTGCGGAAGGAAATGAACAAAATTTGCATCTTCTAGAGGTTGTCGAGTTGTAGAGGTTCGAGTTATTGAGATTCAACTGTATTATATTCATAATGAGATAAAGATATAGATTATGTTTATGTTATACTATATGTTTATGTTAGAAAGAGTTTTATAATAATAACAACATTAACAAAATAAATATATTTATTTCTTTTTTTAAATTTTATCATAATAGAGAATATAAAATATGATCTTATAAATGTGTATCCTATAATTTTGTTACAAATAAACAAGTTTAATAATAAATCAAAACATAATTTTTATATTTGCTGCATCTTTATTAAATCAGAGATTATAATATATATGTGTGTATATTATTCAATTATATTGTGCACATAATATTGTGTGTATAGTACAGCTTTGCATTAGTAATTATACGGATAATTCTTCAATTTTGACATTTGAATGTATTTATTCAGCTTGTGCTGCTTCTTCTTTTGTTTCTGTGTTTCTCTGTCTTTCACGTTCTTCCTGTGAACGTCTTGCAACGCATGTAAGCAGAGAGAAACATTTCTCACATTCTTGCGTAAAAATTCTCACTAAATAAATAAAAATTGAAAAAGGCATAATTAAAATATTGATATATGTAACATTTTTAATCAATAATTTATTTTAGTAACAAATGTATCGTTCCTTTTTTAAATTTGCATTACCAGTCCATAAAAAACGTATTTAAAGTACGTAATTAATAAATTCTTTGTAATTCCTTATTTTTTATAATATTATTGTACAATCTAATTTATACAATAATCTAATTTATACACTGTATATGTAAAAACACGCGCACGCACGCACGCACGCACGCACGCACGCACGCACACAGGATGTAACTTAGATAGTGATCACTAATCGTATAGTGCTATTTCTTATCAAAAATTGAGTAAAAAAGCCTGAGCCATTTTTTTCTGCAATTTTTAATTATATATACAGGGATATATATACAGGATATATATATATATGTATATATATTTAAAATAACATAATAAGCTATGGCTTACCTTCTCTTGTGCATTTGTCTGCAATTTGGTATATCTTTTCTTTTTCTTCGTCTTCTTCATCAGAAGATAAAGGAAATATTTCTTGTAGTTTTTTAGCAATCTCATGTTCATTAATGTTTGCTCCTTCCATCTAATATTACAATAAAATTATAAATAATAGGACGCAGTAAAATGTAAATTTATGCGCGTACTCGCCACGCCGACGCATCCGACACTATCTTTATTTTCGTGCGCGGTCTCGCGTGCGCGGTTTCGAACCGAAAGATCCTTCCTTTTCTTCCATTTTTTTGCTCTAATTAAATCTATTAATTTTTGTCTATTCTATTGTTCTCTGTTTCTTATCGCCATGCTACGCGTTTATTAAACAGTCTTGTTATTATTATAAATCGAACTACGAATTCTTTCGCTCGCTTATCACCATCCTACTGTGATTAGCGTGAATCGCCCTTGGTTTCCGACCTGCCCCTCTGCCACTATGTAGAGCCGGCCGGCCCTCACGCGATCGACCTCCGGAGGAGGAGCTCCGGAGTTCGTGAATTTCAGGTAGTGTTTCGTGTCCGCGAATTTTTCGCTTAGTCGTGACAACTTTAAGTTTCGTGAATGACATCGCCATCGAGCACGTCTGGCGAACTTTCACGTTGCGACTCCCCGTCGATCGCTGGAAGGATCTAATTACGAGGACTTACACCTTCCCTCCCCAAAATAAATTTTTTTCTCGTTTTTGATCCGCGACTGCGCGACCGCAAGCTTGACGAGCGCGTGACAATATATAATATATATATGGGGCATTCCATTGCAAGTGTGCCACCTGTGAACTTTTCGATTTTTGATTTGGCTAAAATTTTTATATATTATAGTACCCATCGGATGAAGTTATCATGATTTTTTTCAAATTTTTTTATCAACATAGTCATGAGATATGAATTTTCTTCAAAATTCGCAGTTCCAATTTTCAAATGCCTATAACTTTGCGAAAGATAATTCTGTAACGTCCTATGGACTCCACAATTCTTTTCTCGCGGGGAGATCTAGATTTCGTCACCGCTCCGAAAGACACTTGCGAGTCAGAGTTCAGTAATTGTCATATGTAAAAATCCGCATACATACAGATATTGCCGTCTATTTCAAGACATTCGTAATCTTAGAACAATGCAAGTGTAACAGAAAGAATTTGTTTATAATCTTTTCCGTACGATACAACGTAATAACGCGCAATGGTCAATACGACGAAATAAATATAGATAGATATTGCCATTGACAAGTGACATGCAAGTGTTATAGTACTCTTAATTATCGTAAAAAGATTTACAGCCGTAGATTATACTTGAACCGAATAATTGTTTTTAGCATAAGAAGCTTTGAGGACTCATATACATATAGATAGATATTGCTATCAATTTTAATTAAGATTACACATTTGGTTATTAAGTAAAGGGTGATGATCCACATTTCCCCTCCCTAAAAGGGCGGTCTATTAAAAGATGAAAAACTCCTATATAAATCGCAGGATCGCGAGACCCAAAAAGTTACAGAGTTAGTGAGCTGGTCAGTCAGTCAGTTGTGAACGTAATAACGTTACTCGGAGTACCGGGGTTATCGTCGGGTGCGCGAACTTAGAATTTTTGCGGAAATCAAAACTTAGAATCTGTGTCAACTTCACCAAGAAGAACCAGCGCACCCGACCAGGCCCCAGCGCTCCCCGACTTTAATTATACCACCAATTAGTAAGTTTAAATATACAATTCCTGTTATATGTATATAAATATATACATTGAGAAAAAGAAGCCTGAATCAACAGTCTTTCTTTTGCCTTTAAATTATAGTTTTTTTAAATTCACTTTCTTTAAATATACAATGTCAGTACTACTACATATATAATAATAGATTTAGCGTGAACAAACATTAGTTAACGCTCTCTCTCTCTCTCTCCCTCTCCCTCTCTCTCTCTCTCTAGATCATAATTTCATATTACTTTATTGCGTAAAAAATGCAAAATTAAAAAAAAATTTTTTTTTAATTCGAAAAAATAGAAGCTTCCTCACGATTAAACTAGTTTTAAAAATTATTACATTACGATAAAATTATTATATATTATATTATATTACGTTTAAACATGTTTAAACGTCCAAGAAAATAAATTTTGATCGACTTTCTCGACAAAAAATATTGATTGACTTTTTAATTATAAAAAATTAATTATAAATTTAAAACATTTTCAATTTCTCCAAAAAAATTATAAAAATACCAAAGTAAGTTATTTCTTATTTCATTTCATATTATTTTATTGCGTAAAAAATGTAAAATTAAAAAAAATTTTTTTTTAATTCGAAAGAAATAGAAGAAAAAGCTTTCCCACGATCAAACTAGTTTTAAAAGTTATTAAACTAATCAAAGTTTTTACAATTTTTTGAAAAAAATTAAATGTTTCATACTTTCAAAAATTGATGACGTTTTACTTAAAATTAGAAAAAAAATTAAAAACAATTTTTGAAAATTTTTTTTTTAAATAGAGAAAAAACAAACAATTAAAAAAACTTTTTATTTGGATTATTTTTCGCAAAGTTATAGGCAATTGAAAATTGGAACTGCGAATTTTGGAAAAAATTCATATCTCATGACTATGTTGATAAAAAATTTGAAAAAAATCATGGTAGCTTCTTCCGATGGATACTATAATATATAAAATTTTCAGTCAAATCAAAAATCTGAAAGTTCACGGGTGGCACACTTGGGATGGAATGCCTCATATATACTCATGGTCTGTCCCAAAAGTAATGAGACTATTTTTGGCGCAAATCAGAATTGTCGAAGGGTGGATCCATTGAACAAGACCTTTAGTGCGGGATGTTAGGTATACAATCTGACCTTTCTCAGTTTCCTCCGAGCCTCTCTAGCAGTCGATACCATCAACAAAGTGCGTTGTAATTTTTATGTCTCGTCAGGGGCGAAAATTCAGCACAGACTGTGCTGTATTTTGAGCAGCGTTACGCGATCAAATTCTGAAGATAAAATAGCACTTTCACAAGCTGTTTTCAACGTTTCGGAACCAGTTTTTTTCAGTTTCACGCAGAATTTGATCGCTGCTCGAGACTGCTGAATTTTTGCTCATGACAAGCATAAAAATTACAACGCACTTTGTTGACGATATCGACTGCTAGAGAGGCTCGGAGGCAGCTGAAAGGGTCACATTGTATACCTAACATCCCGCACTAAAGGCTCTGTTCAATGGATTTACTTCTCGACAATTCTGATTAGGTCCTCAAAAACAATCTCATTACTTTTGGGACAGACCATGTGTACATGTATATTAGGTATATTGTACTCCCATTAATTTTATTAATTGCAATTAATTTTATTGAATACGTGAAGATTATTGCAGTATAAAATTTTTAATTACATAATAATTTAAAATTTGATTATTTATTATACGACAGATTTATCATGTATTATCGGATATTACGCATAAAATATATACATATAGTATATTTATAAATACTTACGAAATTCTGTTTTTTCATGACACACGCAATCCAGCAACCAACTTTTCTTGTCCTTTCTTCATTTTCAGGTTCGGCATATACATGATTCATTAGGTCTTCGCGTTCGTACCAATCACCTAAGAAATAAAATCTATTAATGCAATAAAAAGTGTGTTTTTTGTTACCAAAATATTAACTTAAATAAAACATTACAAATTTATAAGAAAAATTTCCAATTAAGGCAATCGTATTTTAAGTAAAGTTTGTTTTATTGACCAAATGTGATTATTTTCCATGACAAAATAAATATAATTAAACAGATTTAAAAATCCTTCTCCACGATTAAAGTATAGGCATGTAGTTCCGATTGATAGATGCTGAGAACGAAAAATATTTAAAAAATTAGATCTCCGTTGCCTTTTTTTAGTTCAATATAGCATCTAGAGCTGTCAACATGTGCTAATATTTGCTTTGTACAAAAATTTGGCAGATCGTTGGTACAAAATGATACCAGCCGGGACTACGAATTACATGTGCAAATGATGTTGAATTCACAAAGTTAGGCTTGAATGCCTAATAAAAAAGATGTATATTCTTGAAAATTTGTTACGATGCGTGCGATATCGATATGGTAAACGTGAACATATCATTACACACTACACACTACTGTCAATATCGCACGCATACATACTCACAAATCGTCGCTAAAACAGCGACATTTTTGAAGTTTGATCTTTAGTTTAGCATCTTAAGTAAAACAGAATTTATTCAAAATTGATCGAGAAAATTCAAATGACAAACACGAGAAATTTGTAATGTGCACAATTATAACTTACTGTGAGTCGCATTATTTTCTTCCATACAAGTTCGAATATCGTTTCCAAAGTTTGATTCTAATATATCTTTGAGTAGTTTTAGTTTTGCTGAACTAGATGACTGAAACTTAATAAATATTTTTTTATTGCATCTATTTTATATATTACTATAAATAAATAAATAATTTAATTTTTAATGTGCAGTTTGTTGAGATGGTTAAAATAGTTTAGTAGGAGAATACTTACAGCAAGTATTAAAATACAGGCGCAAAGCACGAGATTTTTCATTTTGGCAGATTATTTCTTTACTGCAATAAGCGCAATTATGAAAAACAACTGCTGCTGCATCATATTTATAACCTTACTTTAAAATAAGAAAAGAAACAAAGGTTAAAGAAACATGAGTATAGATCATATATTAATTATGTAACATTGATAGAGATAATAAGTCTCATGATAATTTTCCAATACTCTGTAGTGTAAATTGGCAAGAATAAAATATAAAATAAATAGTTAAATTGACTAGAATAAATAGTAATAATTAATTAAATCAATTCTCTGTACATAATCAAACTTGTTCAATTATTATAAAGTCCGTTGCTAGAATGATTGAAATTAATTGCGTTTGTTGCAATCAAGATATTTTTTAATGGATAATAATATGTGTATAAAAACTAAGAACTATATGCACTATGCAAAACTTAATATAATCTTAGTATACTCATTAATAATTTTATTATAAAACACGTCTATGAAAATTAATCAATAATTTTTATATAGTTTTACATAGAAACTTTAAATCAATCATTTATATGTATATGCTTATAATTATTACAGTTATGCAAATAAAATTACATACAAATATAAATAAAAAAAACCAAATCTACGAAACATTTTATTAAATTCATAATTTATATTTTAAAAAGAATAAAAATACACTTACAGAATTGCATAAAAAAATAATTAAAATGTAAAATTTGAAACTATAAAGAACGTATATGTATGTATGACAATGATATAATATTTATAGTTAAGTTGCAAAAAAATCATTATACATCTACAAGAAAATGTTTCTTTTCTATTATTATTTAATTTTTATGGTAGAAAGGTACTTAAATGAGCACAAAAATGCAAATATAGAAGATCTTTTTCATCTTATTTGTACAACTATTCGGGAGGGTCCCAATTGCCTACAAATCGATTGTCAACATCACTTTTGCCAACAGTTCGTTTGCGCACAAAAAGTATTGTTTACAGATCGATTGCCTACAAACATTATTGCGCGCAAATGAAAAATTAAGAGGCAAATGTACGTTTGCACACCCGACACTATTGCGCACAAGTAGTATTGCACACACGACGTTATTTGTATCTATACCTAGATTGATTGCCTACAAGCATTTTTGCGTACAAGCAGCATTGCATACACGATATTATTGCCTACAGATCGATTGCCTACAAGCAATTTAAATGGTAGCCAGGAAAAATATTAGAAACTAAATTGTTTTTCTGTAAGATTCTTTTGTCTTATATGTATATTCCCACACACCTGAAGAGCATACTAAAGACAGCTAATGTTCTCATTATTTAGCTTACATTTTAGATGTTTTTTTCTCGTAACGATAAGAGTCATACACTCATGATAATAATTATACATAATTATAGTTTATATTCTGACCTCATCTTTCGTTACCTTCAGTTCTAGGGAGAGAGAGGAGGAACTATTAGCATCCTCTATATCTATTCCCTTTTTAATCAGTGACGGTATTTCGAGCCCGAGCCCGAAGCATTTTTTATCATGTATGACAAACTCGTCACATAGATAAACAGAACGTTTTTATATGTGTAAATGGAAGAGAAAGAAATGTTTGGGTGCTTTAAGCTCAAAATCCCATCACTGTCATCTCCACAGCTTATAGAGATTATACTAGACTTTCACTTAAATTTTAACAATTTGAATTTTATTTACTTATCGTTGTAATTAAATATCTTTTTATTAAATTTTTCTATTTTTTTAGTTTTTGGAAATCATGACTTGTCATATCATTAAAACGTCTAAAATAATTTTTAGTATCCTTATATTACCTTTCTCTTATTATAATTTGTTCTTTAATACTCGGTGTTATTTTGTCCTTATAAAAAATTAGTAATAATATATTTAAAACGTTTTATTTTGACACATTTTGTGCAATAAAAAGTTAATCTTTTGCTTCTCAATCTCACAATTCGCATGCTACATGTTAATGAAACTAGCCTTAATTATGTGTGCAACAGTGCTTGCAAGCAATTAATCTGTAGGCAATAATATCATGTGTGCAATGCTGCTTGTGCGCAATAGTGTCGTGTATGCAAACGTATTTTCGTCTTTTAATTTTTCAATTGTGCGCAATAATGCTTATAGGTAATCGATCCGTAGGCAATACTTTGTGTACGTAAACGAACGGTCGGCAAAAATGATGCAAAAGTGATGTTGGCAAACGATACTGTTGGCAATCGATTTGTAGACAATTAGGATCCTCCCCAATTATTCTACTATCTTTACGTACTTGTACATTAACGCAATGAAGCCTAACAGTATCATACTTATACTATCTGTAATATAAAATGCAAAAATTAAAGATCACGAGATCATAGATCAAATAAACATGAAGCACATGTTACGCAACAAAATATATAATGATAAATCACTAACACAAACTAATTGTTGCAAGTATAAGTTACTAAGATGTAACGTAAGCATGCTGTTTTTTCATATACACTACTCAACAAAAAATAGGGAACACTGTCAAAACGCTCAAAATTGGACAGTATTCAAATCGCTGTAACTCACTGAAAAATTATCGTAGATAAAAAATTACAAAAGCATTTTAAAGCTTGAAATTTATACTTTAACATGCTTTTTGTCGTTTTTAAAAAAAGCGATCGCGTAGTGGCATATCTAAATCAATTACCCCCACCATGCACCGCGTGATAGGCGACCGCGGTCCGCGGCGGGCGGGCGTATCTCGCCACGCGTTCAAATTCGACGAGCTTTATATATTAATATCTCCAAACTATTGCGAAGATCGCAAAATGGTAGAGGACTTTTTTGTTCAGTTTGGTCCACACTACCTGCCCACAAGCGCTGTACCATTGAGTACGAGACATACTGTATATATATATATATATA